CTAAAAAAGGTCATCTTATCTAGCAAGGACTCCCGGGAAGGGAAACTGAGATCCAACTGGGAAGGACCCTATACAGTTACAGAGGAGGTGAGACCAGGTACCTATAGACTCCAGAATTTTGAAGAAAAAGTCCTAGCCCATCCATGGAACGCAAAACATATAAAGAAATACTACCAGTAGCTTGAGGCAGTGAGTCATGAGTTGGTGTCTACTGTTTAGACTGTTTATCTTAGTCAATTTTTTATGTTAGTCGATTTTGTTCTTTAAATATTCACTTTGGATTATGAAATAAAACTTCTCAACATTTTCTCTAAAAGTTTTTTCATTTAAAGTCATGAACCTTTTACAAAAAAGATAGACATAGTCTATTCCATTCAAGTCATGAACCTTTTACAAAAAAGATAGACATAGTCTATTCCATTCAAGTTCATGAACCTTTTACAAAAAGAGATAGACATGTTCTGTCCAAAAAAAAAATGCAAAGACACCACACTCCTAGCGACTCTCACTGCCCCACTCATATAGTCCTCATCATCAGACTCAAGAGCCTCGTAAGGCTTGAAGCCAGAAAAGTCATAGGCAGGGAATGCTGTAGAGGCCTTCCTCCTGAACTCATCATAGCTGTCCATAAAGGCGTTGGCCTTGGCCCTCTTTGCAGCATCTCTCTAAGCCTCCGCTCTGGTAGCTCTCTCAACTGTTACCCAAAGGTCAGCCTCAAGTTGGGCTGCCTTCTCCTATAACAACCTCAACTGCTCAGTAGCACTCTCTCGCGTCTGTTGCTCAAGCTCTAACTATTTCTCGGCATCCTCTCACGCCTGTCGAGCTAGCTTTGCGGCGTCCTTTCAAGCCTGCCGCTCAAGCCGAAGCTGTTCCTCCGCAGTCGAGTGTGCCTGCCTCTCCATCGCCCAACCATGGACTGCGTCCTCAATCTCCAGGGTATTGTTGAACAGATAGGACAAGGCAGCAGCCACATGTTGGTATTTAAAGGTAAAGAGGGGTGAAGAGCTAAGTCAAAGTATGACAAAGAAAGTTGTATGTATAGTAGGGATGTAAGACATACCAAAGCAAGGCCCTCAACAGTGGTGTTAATCGCCCCTTCTGGACCTCGAAAAGCAATCTCTTGAGCCTCAACACCTGTTACGAAAAGCACATAATCTTTCCCTTGTCAACTCCACGTCATGCAGCATGGACGCTCGGGCGTTACCATGAGGAGGACACCTAGACGGGCCCTCCGTCCTAGTGAACCGTAATGTCGGAGCCTCGACCTCTGCAGCACTAGAACCACCCCTGGGGGATGAGGGAATATCAGTCAAAGAGTGAGGAGGAGCATCCTTGAACCTTGTCTCCGCAGGACCAGCTAAACTGGAGGCATCAGTCCCTGCCCTCTTGGGGGGAGGAGGAGAAGGAATTGACCTGGAGGCACATATCTCTTCCACTATGGACTTGTCGAGTAGAGGACCTGAAAAACCAGTGTAAGTCATGAATCCTACAACACAGTTTTTCCAAAAGAACTATGAAAGAAGTCAAGTACCTTTCTTCTTCGGCCTCGAAGGAACCATGGAATAACCAACTGACGACATAATATCGGAGTGCTCCCTAGTTGGATTATTGCGGACCATCTCGAGCAACCTTTCCTGTTCAGCGGTGAGGGATGTCGGGGCTGCAAGAAGACAGTCGCACTATAGGAATAAGTATTTGACTATCAAGGCAACAGATAAAAGATAAAGACCTTACCCTGCTTGGTCTTTGGGATGGTATCCCATCGGGTGGGCACTCGGCTACGGTCTGGCTCGGAAGCCCACTTGCCTCCGACGAAAAAGAATTTCTTTCCATTTGTGAAGATTAGAAGTAAGCCTGGTGATGAACTTCCCTGACCTTGGGGGAAACCGATATCACCCCTGGTGGGGAGCGGGGTTCTCCGAAAGTCTGTAAGTGGCCAAGAACTCCTCAAACAGTGGAGGAACACTAGTCCCATGTGTCAACCGCCATAGTGCAAAGAAAGCCAATAATACTCTCCAATCATTCGGAGCCAGCTTCCTAGAAACTAGTGGCAAATGCTCAAAGACCTGACATATGGGCCTAGGAATCAAGAATCTCAGGCCTGCCTTTAATATCCTCTCGTAGAGCACTATCTCATCCAGAGAATCGCAGCAAGCTGACTCATCAGCCTCTGCATGATGACACAATACCGAGGGTGGGATGCGGTACAAAGAAACTAACTCCATAATATCTTCGTCACATTGAAAGGAGCTAAATATCGAGGCAACCTTAAAACAGTTGCCTCCGTTAGTAAACGGGCCTCTATCGGGATCCCCAGCAATCTTTAGATCGTCTAAATGAAAACCTGTCAAAAAAAGAAGTTAAGTCATTGTTAAAGAAAGTACCCGTACCAATAAAGGAGCAAAAAGAGTATTGGGAACATACTTGGAGAGCCCCATACCGTCCCCATCGTCGATCAGCCGCTTCCTGGACTCACGAAGAGGAGGCTGAACTGCGCTTGAGCCACCTCTTGGGGCGCCGCCCAGTGCGCCATGGGAGCCTCCTGAAGCACCTGTGGCGCTACCCAGTTCGTGACGGACGCCCTCTGCCTCTTTCGAAGATCCACTCTGTAGCCCACATGCACCTGGGGTTCCTCTTGATTTACTAAAAGGGTTAAGTGAAAACTCCTTGCCCATACCTAGTCTTGGGCTAATAATTCCAAAGGGTTTCTCACTCTTTGCCGAGACCTCACTGCCACGAGGAAGGATGCCCAACTGACCAATGCTCAAATAGGGGGTCACCTAAGCCCCTAGCGCTGCCCATGTGAGTCCCTAACATCTCTCCACCTCTCCGCTCTTCACCAAGGCCATCAACCTCTCCTTCTGCATCACTCTCAATACCACCCGAAGCCTAGGCACTGCCCCTGTCATCTCCCTCTCCTCTTCGTTCCCCTGCTATACGATCCGAGACTTGGGTGCCGACCACGGGATGTGCACCACCATGGGCGCCGCCCACCATATCGCCCTTATAGGCACCGCCTAAAGGCTCAACGCCATGGGTTTTTCTTGACTCCACTACATGAGTTTTAGAGCTCCTTGTCTCCATGGGTGTTGAATATCAAAAGAGGTGAAGTAAAAAAAAAATGAGATAAACAATAACTCTTGAAGGCCTTAAATAGGGAAAGAGAGCTTCTTGAGGAAGCTTACCTTAGCTTCTTGGAGAAGCTTGATGAATGGATTCTTAAGGAAGCTTACCTTAGCTTCTTGGAAAAGCTTGATGAATAGCTTCTTGAGGAAGCTTGCCTAAGTAGCTTCTTGGAGGAGCTTGGAAGTGAGGAGCCCTAGAAATGAGAAGTGCGAAAATGATAGGGAAGGCCTGAACAGTGATCCATATTTATAGACAAAAAAAAAAAAAAAGAGGCAGTCCGAATATTTGTGCAGTCTAAGAGACCACAAACGGTGCCCAGTACAATGCCAAGGCAAGGAAAAGAAAGAAAAAGAAAAGAGATAAAGGGGGAGAGTTCAAGGGCAACGCCCAGCCCAAACCAAGAGAAGAAAAGAAAAAAGAAAGAGGGAGGAGGGCCAGTCCAACAAGCCAGCAAACCAAGAGAAGAAAAGAAAAAAGAAAAGAAAAGAGAAAGAAGAAAAAAAGGAGCAATGCCCAGGACAGCCAAGGAAAAAAGAAAAAAAAAAGAGAGAAACGGGGCCCACACCCAAGAGAAAAAAAAAAGTCAAAAAGGGCGACGCCCAACCAAGTAAGCAAAAAAAAAAAAATATGTTCGATACCGATCAATACAACGGAGTCCTGAAGACGAGAAAAATTTTGACTCACGCCGATGAAGATGAAGCACATGCCCGGGACTTCCTCTCGAAAAAGTCAGAGGCTCAGGGTATTGGGAGCAAATGATGAGTCCGAATTTTACTGGGTCAAGCCCAATAAAATAAATTGAGAAAGTTCAAAGGAAAGCCCAAATCAAAGCTGGGTTAACCCATCAAAAGGAATCCAAATTACTGGAGCCTAAAAGGAATTGAACATGCTCACAAGCTAAGAAGGAGTCAAGTTAAGTCCAAGCCAAAGGCCATCGCCCATGGCTTGCCTCCTTGTCCCTCTTCTCCACTCCAATGCAAGTCTAAGTCCACACCACTCCAAATCTAAGCTCAAGATCAGGATCAGCCCAACTCAAAATCATCCTCCGACAGAATAGGGACACGAACGAGAAAATATCGGGATGCGGAGATCCATTCCTACTAAGATTATACTTACCAAGATAGTGGAAGACCCCTTCATAGTCTTGAGATCCCTACACACTCTACACCTTCCTACACACACTGCTCTCTCTCTCTTCAAAGCATTGTAATACTCCTGGAGAATACTCTCTTCGGTGACTTCACTCATTAATAAAAGATCCAGGCCACCACTGCCGTTTTCGAGAGTGGAGTAAGTCACCCGGACAAAACCACTATAATTCTTTGTGTTGACTCCTTATTTATAGCTTTATTATTGATTGTTTTATTTATTGCTCATTAACTCCACATGTTCATACACTTGACTGTTGATTTTTGCACAAAAACCAATTTGTGCATAATCAATTTGAATCATTTATAATGAAATCTTGCTAGAGATAGGATAAAATTGATTATATGCAGAAATGTTGTATAAGATTCAAAAATTTTGATGCACAACCTTGCCATAAATTGTCAGGGAGACATTACATAATTAAAAACCAGTCTCTCTACCAATTTATACCCAATTTGAGGCTGTGTAGCGCATTTGAAAAACTCAGTTAGACAGCAAATATAATTATCCTTTGCTTTGCTTTTGTTTCTTGTTCATTCCTTCTCACACATAACTTTCTTTCCATTACATATTGATAAGTAAGGAGAACCTCATGAGGTAGAGGGCAGGGTTGTTGTTCATTGCATTTCACTTAAGTATGCAATGTGTTGGTTGTTCTCTTGAGAAAACATAACCCTTCCCCCTTTTTGAGTGTGTGTTGGGAAATATTAGAGAATTTTGACTGCATGGATTTTTTTCATTGTACTCCATTATATGATGAAATTGAATGGGATCCAGGACTTACAATTTTGCAAGTCGGTACCAAAATTAATAAAGCTCAAGATGCTATTCCTGTTCCTCCAAATGAGACAAATCCTGCCAGTAAAAATCTGCAAAAAATGGTACCAATTCCCCAACCACCCACCTTAGAAGGTAGCTCAGTGCCCGAATTTAAAGTTATTGCTAGTGAAAATCTGTTGGCACCAAAGTTGTACCCCATAATAACAGCCACAAAAAATAGCCCTGAACATGAAGCTCAGGATATGGGACTAGTTTCAAATGAACGAAATGCTGTTGTGGCAAATTTGCTCATGCCAAAGCCAATCTCAGCACAATCAGCCTTGCCAGGTTGCCACCACCTTGAAGCTGAAAAATGATAGCTAGAAACAAGTTGTTTTTAAAAAAATAGGAGAAAGAAGCCATTGGAGGAAAAAGAAACTACCCGTTAGACAAAAAAGTTGTTGCACGTTACATGCCAAAGGGCAACATCAATTAGTAGGAATTATCTACAACTTTGTCAAATAGTAGTGCACATTAAATAGGGAAGCTCTATAAAGGTAATTTTTTCAAAGCATTTATAAAAAAAAAAAATCGGCAGAGAAATTATCCATGAAAGATTCGAAAAATCTNTTTGTGCATAATCAATTTGAATCATTTATAATGAAATCTTGCTAGAGATAGGATAAAATTGATTATATGCAGAAATGTTGTATAAGATTCAAAAATTTTGATGCACAACCTTGCCATAAATTGTCAGGGAGACATTACATAATTAAAAACCAGTCTCTCTACCAATTTATACCCAATTTGAGGCTGTGTAGCGCATTTGAAAAACTCAGTTAGACAGCAAATATAATTATCCTTTGCTTTGCTTTTGTTTCTTGTTCATTCCTTCTCACACATAACTTTCTTTCCATTACATATTGATAAGTAAGGAGAACCTCATGAGGTAGAGGGCAGGGTTGTTGTTCATTGCATTTCACTTAAGTATGCAATGTGTTGGTTGTTCTCTTGAGAAAACATAACCCTTCCCCCTTTTTGAGTGTGTGTTGGGAAATATTAGAGAATTTTGACTGCATGGATTTTTTTCATTGTACTCCATTATATGATGAAATTGAATGGGATCCAGGACTTACAATTTTGCAAGTCGGTACCAAAATTAATAAAGCTCAAGATGCTATTCCTGTTCCTCCAAATGAGACAAATCCTGCCAGTAAAAATCTGCAAAAAATGGTACCAATTCCCCAACCACCCACCTTAGAAGGTAGCTCAGTGCCCGAATTTAAAGTTATTGCTAGTGAAAATCTGTTGGCACCAAAGTTGTACCCCATAATAACAGCCACAAAAAATAGCCCTGAACATGAAGCTCAGGATATGGGACTAGTTTCAAATGAACGAAATGCTGTTGTGGCAAATTTGCTCATGCCAAAGCCAATCTCAGCACAATCAGCCTTGCCAGGTTGCCACCACCTTGAAGCTGAAAAATGATAGCTAGAAACAAGTTGTTTTTAAAAAAATAGGAGAAAGAAGCCATTGGAGGAAAAAGAAACTACCCGTTAGACAAAAAAGTTGTTGCACGTTACATGCCAAAGGGCAACATCAATTAGTAGGAATTATCTACAACTTTGTCAAATAGTAGTGCACATTAAATAGGGAAGCTCTATAAAGGTAATTTTTTCAAAGCATTTATAAAAAAAAAAAATCGGCAGAGAAATTATCCATGAAAGATTCGAAAAATCTGATGCATAATCTAGCAATAAATGTTTAGATAGAAAATTATTGAATTAAGTTAACCTCACTATCCCTTTATAAACCTAATTTTCTAGTGAGTTATGCACTAGAAAAAACTTGGTTTACAAAGTAAGTGCTAAAAAGGTTATTTTTTGAAAGTATTATAAAAAAAATCTCAGGAGAGATATTAATAAAGGTGCGTTTATGAGCAAAGTAAAAGCATTAGCTGACAACCAATTGCCAGGACATAAATAGCTAAATTGTAGCCCTTTTGAAGAAACTTGGAGAAACAAGTCATTGGAGCATAAAGAAACTAACCGTTACGTAAATTGCTTCTTGCACGCTAGTTGCACCCTACATGTCACATGGCTACATCAATTAGTAGGACCTATTTACAACTTTGTCAAATAGTAGTGCAAATTAAATAATGAAGCGATATGAAGGTAATTTTTCCAAGGATATATTAAAGAAATCTCGGCAAAGAAATTAGAAAATGCGACTATATAAGGTAAATCCAAGAAAGATTCATCAAATCTGATGCGTACTTTGGGAATAAATGTTTAGATACAAAAGTATTGAATTAAGTTAACCTCACTATCCCTATATAAACCTAATTTGCTAGTGAGTTATGCACTAGGAAAAAACTTGGTTTACTAAGTAAGTGCTAAAATGATTATTTTTTGAAAGTATTATAAAAGAAATCTTAGGAAAGATATTAAAAAGACGCGTTTATGAGCAAAGTAAAAGCATTAGTTGGTAACCAATTGTTGGGAAACAATAACTGGAAACTAACCGTTTTTAAAAAATTAGGAGAAACAAGCAACTGGGGCAAAACGAAACTAGTCATTAGATAAAAAGGTTGTTGCACGCTAGTTGCATGCTACATGTCACACGGCTACATCAATTAGTAGGACATGTTAGATGATCAATCGGGTAATTACAGACACAAGGATTTTGGGGTGTCATAGGACTTATCTACAACTTTTTTCAATAATAGTACACATTAAATAAGGAAGCGCTATGAAGGTAATTTATTCAAAACATTTATAAAAGAAATCTCGGTAGAAATATTTAAAAAAGTGAGTTTATGAGGAAAATTCATGGAAGATTCGACAAATCTGATGCATAATTTAGCAATAAATGCTTAGATACAAAAGTATTGAATTAAGTTAACCTCACTATCCCTATATAAACCGGATTTGCTAGTGAGTAATGCACTAGGAAAAGCTTGGTTAACTAAAGAAGTTCTACGAAGATAATTTTTTGAAATAATTTTTAAAAGATTATCGGCAGAGATATTAGAAAAGTCATGATTATGAGCAAAGTAAAAACATTAGTTAGAAACTAATTGTAGCGAAATAATAGCTAGAAACTAGCCATTTTTAAGAAATTAAGAGAAAAAGCCAATGGAGCAGAAAGAAACTAACCGTTAGATAAAAAGGTTATTGCACGCTACATGCCCCACAGTTATAACAATTAGTAAAACCAATCTACATCTTCGTGAAATAGTAGTGCACATTAAATAAGGAAGTGTTATGAAGGTAATTTTTTCAAAGCATTTATAAAATAAATCTCGGCAGAGACATTAAGAAAGGTGAGTTTATGAGAAAAATCCATGAAAGATTTGATAAATCTGATGCGTAATCTGACAATAAATGTTTAGATACAAAAGTATAGAATTAAGTTAACCTGACTATCCTTTTATAAATTGGATTTGCTAGTGATTTATGCACTAGGAAAACTTGGTGAACTAAAGAAGTGCTACGAAAGTAATTTTTTGAAAGCATTTATAAAAGAATCTCGGCAAAGATATTATAAAAGGCATGTTTATAAGCAAAATAAAAGCATTAGCTGGAAACCAATAGTTGGGAAATAATAGCTCGAAACTTGCCCTTTTTTTGGAAATTAGAAGAAATAAGCCACTAGAGTAGAAATAACCAAGCCGTTAGATAAAAATGTTGTTGCACGCTAGTTGCATGCTACATGCCACACGACTACATCAATTAGTAGGACCTATGTATGACTTTGTCAAATAGTATTGCAAATTAAATAAGGAAGCGCTATGATGATTATTTTTCAAAGCATTTGTAAAAGAATGGCAGAGATAGTAAAAAAAACGAGTTTATGAGGAAAAATCATGAAAGATTCGACAAATCTAATGCATAATCTAACAATAAATGTTAAGATATAAAAGTATTGAATTAAGTTAAGCTCATTATACCTATGTAAACATGATTTTCTATTGAGTTATATATTAGAAAAACTTGGTTTACTAAGGAAGTGCTACAAAGGTTATTTTTTGAAAGCATTATAAAAAAAAAATCTTGGTAGAGATATTGAAAAATGTGCGTGTATGAACAAAGTAAAAGAATTAGCTGACAACCAATTGTCGGAAAACAATTGTGAGAAACTAGCCATTTTTAAGAAATTAAGAGAAACAAGCCGTTGGATCAAAAAGAAACTAGACTTTAGATATAAAAAAAAAAAAAGGTTGTTGCACGCTACATGCTACACGACTACATCAATTAGTAGGATCTATCTACAATTTTGTCAAATAGTAGTGCAGATTAAATAAGGAAGCACTATGAAGGTAATTTTTTCAATGCATTTATGAAAGAAATCTTGGTAGAGATATTAAAAAAGACGAGTTGATGAGGAAAATTCATGAAAGATTCGACAAATATGATGCATAATCTGGCAATAATTGTTTAAATACAAAAGTATTGAATTATGTTAACCTCACTATCCCTATATAAACCTAATTTGCTAGTGAGTTATGCGCTAGGAAAATTTTGGTTAACAAAAGAAGTGTTACGAATGTAATTTTTTGTAAGTATTTATAAAAGAATCTCAACAGAGATATTAATAAAGGTGCGTTTACGAGCAAACTAAAGTGTTAGCTAACAACAAATTATTAAAAAATAATAGCTAGCAACAAGCCGTTTTTAAAAATTAGGAGAAAGAAGTCATTGGAGGAAAAAGAAATTAGCCATTACATAAAAAATTTGTTGCATGCTACATGCCACAAGACTACATCAATTAGTAGGACCTCTCTACAACTTTGTCAAACAGTAGTGCACATTAAATAAGAAAGAGCAATAAATGTAATTTTTTCAAAGCATTTATAAAAGAAATCTCAATAGAGATATTAAAAAAGTGAGTTTATGAGTAAAATTCATGAAATATTCAAAAAATCTGATGCATAATCTGGCAATAAATGTTTAGATAGTAAAGTATTGAATTAATTTAGCCTCACTATCCCTATATAAAGTTCATTTGCTAGTGAGTTATGCACTAGGAAAATTTTGGTTTATTAAGGAAGTACTACAAATGTAATTTTTTGAAAGCATTATAAAAGAAATCTCGGTAGAGATATTAAAAAAGGAGTATTTATGAGAAAAGTAAAAGCATTAGCTGGTAACCAATTGTGAGGATATAATAACTAAATAATAGCCGTTTTTTTATGAAATTAGGAGAAACAAGTCATTGGAGCATAAGGAAACTAGCAGTTAGGTAAATTGCTTGTTGCACACTAGTTGCGTGCTACATGTCACACGGCTAGATCAATTAGTAGGACCTATTTGCAACTTCGTCAAACAGTAGTGCACATTAATTAAGGAAGCAATATGAAGGTAATTTTTTAAAGCATTTATAAAAGAAATCTCGGCAGAGATATTAAAAAAGATGAGTATATAAAGTAAATCCAAGAAAGATTCAGCAAATTTGATGCGTAATCTAGCAATAAATGTGTAGATACAGAAGTATTGAATTAAGTTAACCTCACTATCCCTATATAAACCCTATTTGCTAGTAGATTATGCAATAGGAAAAACTTGGTAAAAGGAAAATGTGGAGAATCCAATTGTCCTCTGCCTTTTATTTTCTCTTTCGTTTTGTTCCATATTGCACTTATAGTCCCTTGGTCTTACCATGTTCACAATTGATGGAAATTTTCAGGAGGCGGAGGACCAGGTCGTTGTTCATAGCATTTCATTCTAAGGTGGGGACCCATATTACGAGGTTAGATATAAAGGTTATGAAATGTTAGTGGATCTTGTTTTGAATATTTGATGTCTATCCATGCGTGCAGTGAACTGAGATTTCTAATTGTGTAGTTTTTGTGATGGGTTTCCATATTTCTCTCACATATATTTTCATTTTGATAGAAAATTCTCAATAATGACTTAATTCTTCCTAGGAATTATTTTATTTTGCATTAATTTTGTACAGAAAGCTAGCAAAAGATTACCACTACTATTTAAACATGAGTTTTTGTACTTATTTGATGTGTAGGGCATTGGATCTCCTTAAAGTGGAAGAGCTGCTGGTCATGTCAGCCAGGTAATTTTATCTATGAAATTACATTCTCAAATCACCAAAGATTGTAATTTTTCTAGCTTTCTGCAGTGTCTAATCTTCTACATGCAATGAATTTAATACTCAGGTTCCACTTTTTTGTAGTCATTTAGTTATAGCCCTGATACTAGTAATATTTTTTTTTTTGAATGAGGTACTTGCATTGTTCTTCAAATCAGACGTTTATTCTAATCTAGATAGATACCTCAATGATGTAGTCATACAATCTTGGACAATCTTCCCTCCGTTTTGTGCAAATGAAAGTTTTGTACTTATGAAAACATGCAACAGAGCTAAGTGGGAGCCCAAAAAAAGTCGCAAAACTATGAAAAGCAAAGCTTAGTTGGCCATTGAAGAAATTGTGCTGCCATGGCCATTGCAATCACAAATTGACGAATAATGACTGATGAAATGTACTAAAATGCACATTTACACACACACACATATAAATATATATGTATAAGCAGTGAATATTGAACATCTAATAATTATTTAATAAATTAATTTGTTAGTATTATCCAAGTCAAGAACAAGATATAGTTTCCCTAAATTGTCAAATTAAAAACTCTAGTTTGATGACTCATTATACAACATAATCTAGGCTTTCTTCTACCCTCAATATCTCCCCATCTTTCCACCCTCAATATATTATCTTGTAACATCTTTCCTAAGAAACTATCTCTCTCTCTTCTTCCCCCCCC